CAGTCCCTGATGGCCACCGCGTCCTCGTTAGTTCTGTGCTACATTTAGTTGAGCTGGAAATCTGTGCCCCTGATTTAATCACCAACCCGGTAGCCATGGAGATGACATCAAGCCTCCAGCGGTCCAGGGCTGCCCAGTAAACCCTGTGCAAGTGATGAGAATAAAATAAACAGGGAGCGTACATTAACTTCCTAAGTAAATAAAAGGCTTTGCCCCCAGGTCTCCTCCTTAACAGCGTTCAACCCGCTGATGTTTGTTAGAATCCACCGTGGTTTGAAAAATATCACAGTCACAGCCTTTGTCTCAATGCTTCTTTTGTTTTGTTTTGTTTTGTCCTTTGTTTCAGATATATCAGCACTCCTATACTGGATATTATGTCCTGAGCAAAATTCCTCACGGGTAAGATTGTTTTTTTTCATTTTCTTTTAATGAGAAATCTGCAGAGCAAAACCAAAGGCAGAACATTGACTACAGGCTTAATTCTTAGGAATTCACAGCGGGAAATGGGGCATCTTGACTTTTGCCTGCAAAGTGCCCTGATGTGGTGGGGCCTCTGTGCAGCACCCAGGGTCAGGGGTCACCTGAGCTCTGCACTGTCCCACTTGTGAAGCCCCCATCCTAGACCAACTGTGCCATCCCCACCCCTGCTCTGGGTCCTTGTGCTTTGTAATCAGCTGCAGGAAAGGTGGGCTGGCTGGTCCAGGGCCCCCAGGAGGGCTCCTGAATATGCACACAATACAGAGGGTGGCACCGGGAGCTCATGGGTCTCTCAAAAAAAACATAATTTGGAACCCAAAAGTGTGTGGAGGGGGGGCAGGAAAGAGATGAGAGCAAGTGTGATTTCAAAAGGTTTTCAGGGCTGGGGAGACAGACCCACACACTACACAGGGGCGTCATCAGGAACCCATCTCTGGAGCCCAAAGGCAGGAAGACGTGGCCGACATTTGGTGAGGCCGTTTGCAGAGTCGGACACACAGAAAAACCGTTTCAGAACTCGGAAAGTGGGGCAGGAATGGCTTACGGTTTTCATTTCTGTTCTTTCTTTCCCCCGCCTCCTGTAACCCAGCTCCCACCCTGCCGTCTTGTTCCCCACCCCCATCTTTCTCCTTCTCCCCCCCCCCACGGTTTCTTTCACAGCATCTGGAAGAGGTGAGGTTTGGGGGAAATGTTCAAAGAACTTGGATTGGGCTGCTGGTGATGCTGTGTAGGTCCCTGTGAATTTTTTAGGGGGGGTGCGGGGGGCTAATTTTCCCCATGCAGGTGTAAACAAACAGCAGGAGTTGCTAACGAGTATTGTTCCACTGGAGAGCCTTCATCCCAGTGTGACTGCTTTCAGCTGCTGCCGTCTGTTTTCTACTAGGTTTAGGTAGAGCCCGGGCATACCCTTGGAAAACAAACACGGATCAAATCATTTCATTTGGACTTCGGACAAATGAAAGATGTAGATTGCAGCAAAATGTGACCCATGGTTTCTGTTGGGCTATGAGAAAAATCAAGCCCCAAGGAACAGAAAATGACCCACGATAGTAAAAATAAAGCATCCATAGTCATTTTTCATTAAAGTCATATTTCAAATAGAAACTCAGGTGTTTTTCACGGAGGAAGAATCGTTCTGTGATTTTTCAAGCAAAGGGTCACGGCAGGCAGAGTATAATTACGCCTTGAGATTTATCTACCCTTTGTGGGAACGATAGAATTTATTGTGGATGATGGCTATTTCGTTCCATTTTATATAAATTTGTAAGACTCTAAAAGCATTGTAGGCTTAACACCTTGTGTTACTGTTTTACTGCACCCGTCAGAATTGAGGAAAAATCGATTCTGAAAACCTAGCTCCAGAATTTGCACACCTGAGGACAAGATATGGTCTACGCTGAACATTTGGTCTCAGCCTCACGATGACAAGACCCCATAGAGGATGCCAACGGATCATGAGCTGCTTTCGGCATTTCTAAAACAGTCATAGTAATAAGCAGTGCCATCATCTGTCCATTGGCTTTCACGCACCTTTATCCCAGCACAACAGGCCGGCAAGATAAGCGTCCTTATCCCCAACCCCCAGTGAGACCTCTGAGCCGGCAAGTGCGGGCCCAGCCTCTCATAGCTCACAGCCCAGATCCCAGCCCAAGCCTGGCTGACTGCAAACCCATGCTCTCCAAACAACCCCCTTAAATTACATTAGAGCCATAAATAGCAGGTTTTCAGTGGAGCTCATTTGTTTCTTTTCTAAGGACTCATAAGACTGAAACGTGTAGCAGGTTACTTGTTACATTTACCGGAATCAGTGTCTGGGGGATGAGACAGCCTGTGGCCCATCCCATCACCTTGTCAACAGAAGCCCCTTCTCCAGAAACGCTTTGCTCCACTACCCAACTCTTCCTCTTTGTCATAAGATCGTTTTTGGAAAATGAATCATTTAACGAATTTAAAATACTGTGAACATCTTAGTTCTGTTAATGAGATGGTGGATCTCTGAACTGGGTGAGCCTTCAGGCCTCGAATTGTTGCAGCTTCTGCCTGCAAAAGGAACTTGTTGACCTCTCAGATAGTCAGCTGTACAAGTGCGCCACCGAATGGCAGGAGGGGAACACAGCCCGTGTTTTAAGACCTTCCCTATAGGAGGGTTTGGGGTACAAAGGAAAGCACAGTTGTCCTTTTAGAATAAAAACAAGTCTATTAAAATATTTAAATTTACATTACCCACAGTCCTTAAAAACTGGGAGCTTTTCTTGATACTCCTGAAGACACAGATCGATACCTTTTTCACAGATTTCATCACTCTTGCCTCTAAAATTCTTCACAACAAGCCAGAGGCTATTCAATCTACAAGATGAGATTATTTGTCATTGGTGACTTGATTTTTTTTTTCTTCTTAGCTTCAGGCTTTCCAATCAGCCACAGAGTAGGGTCGAATTAAATTTTCAGTGCCCTGTGAATTCTGGTTTCCTTCCCTCGTGCCAGTGGCAGAAAGAATTGGGGAGCATGTACTCTCTTTCCTGCCCGTCAGGATCCCAAGAAGCCCATGCATTAGTTTCCTGCTTCTCCGGTTTTGGCCCCGTAGCTGGAGCCGCGTAGAACCTTTGTGCGTGTAATGACTGCACTTACAGGGAGAAGCCCGAGACAGCTGAAGTTTCCTCTGGTACTAAGAGTAGGTGTGTTCAACTTTCACCTACTGAATCTCCAAAAAATGGTGTTCTTAGAGGCCATATGTCTTTTACACAAATGTGTGTATCAAACCAGAATGAAAGCTAGTTATTTTTAACAAAGTGTTTCACAGTTTTTATCATAAAATGTCAACAAAATGAAGTAATCTTCCATGATAAAGATGGTAGCCAGCTAAATGTTCTCTACAGGGTCTGTCGCGTGCATTCATAAAAGTTTTTGTACACGTGGCTGCTGCTTCACATATTCCTNTTCTGGATGTCAGAGATGCACTTGAAATGGATATTTGGAAACAATTAGAATCACAGTTGAAATATTTACTGTTCCTCTCTGAAATATTTCCTGTATGTAAATGCATCCTCATTTTTAATCATATTCTGTTGATACTCAGATATGCTCATGGTAACTCATCACTAGGAAAGCATTATATGTGGAGGACACAGGATGAAAGAAACATTCTCTCCTGATAAGTTACATGAATGGGAATTGGCCACAAAAGGATGAATTGAAGTGCATTAGGGTTGGGCGTGGCATGGAGGGCTAAGCATGGCGTTCCAGAGAGACGCCAGGTTCTGGGGAAAATCGCCATCTCCACGCTCTTAAATTTAGAAAGTTTTGTGGAAGACCAGTTATCCCAGGAGGAAGGAAAGAGTTGAGATTAAATACTGAATCCTTAAGGATTTTTCATTACTTTTGTATTTTAAAACTGACAACTACGTGTCTCCCATGCTTTAACTGTTGCCTAGATTTTTACTCTAAGTTGTAAGTTCCATGCAGATGGGAAGAAAAGTTATGCAACCGGGGGGAAAAAAAACAAAGAACATTTAGTTTATATCACGTCATTTCCTAATATTTGTCTTACGTCACAGGAGCTAAACATCTTTACTTTTCACTAAATATTTCAATGTGCACTTTAGTTATTTGGGTCTAGAAGGTTGTTCTTTTTAAATCATTACAACAAGAGGCTTAACTTCATTAAGATGATACAATACGTTGGCAGGGCATGTGGAAACGTGTGCCGAATGGAGACATTAGAACATGGGGGTGATCGTGACACTCTGCTTAAGAGAAGGGGGCGCCCCTCTAGGAAGGACTGATTCATTCGGGAAACTTTCCATCGTTACCGCGCTTCAACATCAGGACTTCACAACTTTCTGGGCCACCAGCCATCGGAGTGGGGGCAGAGACTAGGCAGGAGGTAATATATTTTGGCAAAATGTTGGGTCACTGGGGCAATGCCAAGGACTGAAAGACAAAATGAAACAGGAGATTCAAAATCCAGCAGGGACTGGCTCTGTCATGAGATGAGATTTCTGCAGGATCCTGAAAAGGAAGGGGTATAGAGGGGCATAAAAAACTCCCGTACAGTCGGGAGCTTGTCACGTGTGGCATGTGAGCTCATTGATCCAGGATCAGGCATCTGCTCCCTACACCGAGACGCCGTTAAACTTACTCGCTCGCCAGAGCACGGGCAGCCCTCAGTAGGGATCTGAGGGGAAGGCATTTTAGTGGTCGCCAGGTTCAATTTCCAATCCACCAATATTTAGGTCACGATGGCCTAAAACTACAAAAGTGGGTGATTTCCTAGAGGAAGGCCATGGAAAGTGAGTCTGTGTGCATGTGCATGATGGGCGGAGGCAGGAAAGACCACAGCAAAATGAAAAGTGGGGCTCAGTGGGGCTGAGGGAGGGCAGAGGATGAGGAAGACAGCTGTGGGCTATGGACGTTTCAGAAAAATAAGAAGTGGACCAAATAGGAATGGACCCCAGGACAAACCCTCGACTGGTTATTCCCCGCCCCCGCAGTTATGGCATGCCACTGTCAACTATTTAACTATTTCTCACGATGTATTAAAAAAAACGACGTGCTGAAATTGTTTTCCCATCCTGTGGAAGGTGCTTTGGGTAACAAGTTTTCACATACTCGTTTTGCAAGGGACATTTGGTGTAGGAGGAAACCAAACTGCCTCGTATTCATGAACATCTAAAAGCGCAGTCTTTGAAAAGTCACCCGTCTTGCTACCTTCCAACTCCTTGTACTTTGCTCCATGATCAGAACTGCTTAGGGTTTATTTAAAGGAAGAAACGTAAATACGCCAGATAAACAGAGACCACAAAAAAAGAAAGGCTTCTCTCTCTAAGGAACAACTTCTTTCAGTGAGATGTAGCTTTTTTTTTAATGCCTTTCGAGAGAAGGCATTGTGCAAATGAGAACTTGAAATCTGATGTGTCCTTTGT